ACTTTTATCCAAAGCGACTTACAAATGTATGTATGTATGTATAATATATATACATTTTGTTAGATTCAGTGTGTATATAATTTTATAATTTTTTTATATAATATATATATGCATGTACATTTACATTTAGCAGACACTTTTATCCAAAGCGACTTACAAATGTATGTATGTATGTATAATATATATACATTTTGTTAGATTCAGTGTGTATATAATTTTTTATTATATATACTGTATATACACACACATTTTGTTTGTTAGATTCAGTCTACAAAGCACGTTTCCAATAGACGAAAAAAACATCGTATTAATTATATAAATATATACGTATGCATGTATGATATATATATATACATACATTTTATTTGTTAGATTCAGTGTGTATATTTTATAATTACACACACACACACACACACACACAGGCTACACACACACAAACACATTTTATGTGTTAGATTCAGTGTGTATATAATTTTATAATCACACACACACACACGCTACACACACACAAACACATTTTATGTGTTAGATTCAGTGTGTATATAATTTTATAATCACACACACACACACGCTACACACACACAAACACATTTTATGTGTTAGATTCAGTGTGTATATAATTTTATAATCACACACACACACACGCTACACACACACAAACACATTTTATGTGTTAGATTCAGTGTGTATATAATTTTATAATCACACACACACACACGCTACACACACACAAACACATTTTATGTGTTAGATTCAGTGTGTATATAATTTTATAATCACACACACACACACGCTACACACACACAAACACATTTTATGTGTTAGATTCAGTGTGTATATAATTTTATAATCACACACACACACACGCTACACACACACAAACACATTTTATGTGTTAGATTCAGTGTGTATATAATTTTATAATCACACACACACACACATAGGCTACACACACACAAACACATTTTATTTGTTAGATTCAGTGTGTATATAATTTTATAAACACACACACACACATACGCTACACACACACAAACACATTTTATTTGTTAGATTCAGTGTGTATCCAATTTTATAATCCCACACACACACACATACGCTACACACACACAAACACATTTTATTTGTTAGATTCAGTGTGTATCCAATTTTATAATCCCACACACACACACATACGCTACACACACACAAACACATTTTATTTGTTAGATTCAGTGTGTATCCAATTTTATAATCCCACACACACACACATACGCTACACACACACAAACACATTTTATTTGTTAGATTCAGTGTGTATCCAATTTTATAATCCCACACACACACACATACGCTACACACACACAAACACATTTTATTTGTTAGATTCAGTGTGTATATATTTTTATAATTACACACACACACACACACACACATTTTGTTTGTTAGATTCAGTCTACAAAGCATGTTTCAAATAGACGAAAAGAACATCGTATCGTATTGACACTCTTTGCAATAAAATGAACATGCAATGCTATCATATTTATTCTTGGCAAAGAGACAGTGCAGATGCACAATGCCCCGACCTGCATGCAACAACAAAGCAAAACAGGACGCAATGCGAGCATGAAATGAAAACAGTCATGAGTGCATTCGACTGAAGTTCAAAGGAAAGCAAAACATAGCAAAGAAAAATAGCACATCAATCGAGTCTGCGGCAACTTCGTATCTGCGTGACAACAACGACATGTTCCCATGCAGCCATCTGATTCAGCGCAATAAAACCACACGCGCCTACCTCTGACAACACTGCTTTCAGCCAGCATTTTATCAGACCTATAGCTCATCACGGCCGTTTTTGTCTTGGGATACGAGCAGAAACCAAACACTCATCCGGTGGAAATCTCTGATTTCTTCTTGGTATTTTGCTTGTTTTTGAAGGCGTGGAAAAAAGGGCTCACGTATTTTCATTCAGGAGGCGGGGAATGTTCTTATACGAACGACAGCGACAGCTTTCCCCCCTTGTCTGACACAGTTGTTAGCAACATGGCTTGTACTGTGCAGTAATACACGTGATAATATTAATAAGCTTTGGACCCCAAACCCCCTCCCATCTGCCTCTTTTGCACGCGCGCGCGCATCATTTCTTTTTGGCAAAACTGATGCACAAAATCACACACCGCTGATGTCATGGGGAAACATCGCATGTGTCTTGTGACTAGACTTGCAGAATGCATCACCACCCCGAATAGCCTATATTTATTTATAGTAAACTACGTTATCCTTGTAACGGGCACTCAGATGATTAGTGTATTAGTGTTATTTTTTTTAAAAGTCATCAACACTTCCATGTTTGCTCAACATTTCTGCAAGTAAACGTTGACCTAAATGTATTCCACTAGTGAATATGAATTATTAAACATATCTGAATGCACAGGAAATGAAAAACGTTTCTCATACAAATTAAAAGTCCTTGTCAGTCAGAAGAGCATTGCAGTAAATCTCCATACTGACCAAGACAAAATGGTTTTGAAATACATTTTGATAAAATTGTGAGTGAATTGCATTTCTTTTATGAGTACAATTAAAGTTACAGAAATGAAAAATGTGTGTGTGGGGGGGACTTTTTAACTAAATTAAACAATCAACATTTTTGGAGAACACAAATAGTTATGTGTCTGTCTGAATTGCCTTTTTGTGTCTTGTAATCTTCTCTAGCCTTTCCACTAAACATCCACATCTGACTTAGGATCTCAGAAAGAAAAAAGAGAGCTTCTCTCATTCTCCGCAGGACTTTTTCAGGATCTAAATCCAACTCAACCCGTGATCAAGGGCCAAGGTTTTGAATCGCTCCACTTGCTCGGAGTGAAATAAAACTTCCTATAGAGATGTTCAGATATGATTTGATCAATTTGTAGACTTAATCAAAAGGAAAATTCCCAATGGGTTCCTTCAATGACATTTTAAATATAAAAAGTAAAAAAAGGTCTGTGATTAACATTGTTCTGTTTTGTGTAATTAACACACAATTAATTATTAATTGTATTTATTTTAAAGACAGCTTTAAAAAAAAATAATAAATGTGCATAAGTTTAGAAAGGACATTAAGTAAAAGTCACACAAAGCCACAGTTCTGGCTTAAAGCTATTTTCAGATATTTTGAAAAATATCCCCATTTTATTATTATATTATAATTTTTTTTTTACAATGTTGTTTCAGCCCCAACGTTCTTCAGAATATCTTGTCTTGTGTTCCGCAGAAGAAAGAAATGAATGCAGGTTTGGAATGAGGGTGAATAAATTATGACAGAATTTTCATTTTTGGGTGAATTATCCATTGTTACAATTTACTCCATATAGTGCACGGGTTTTGGACCACACTGCTCTGAACATTTTGTATGTCTCTCTTATCTGACGCACTCGGTTCAGTTCATAAATCTCCCTCCTAACGAGCTGATGATCTGAATCAGGTGCATTAAATAAACTAAGACATTCAAAGTGTGCAGAGCATGGGTCCCCATGCAGGACTGGAGTTGAGAACCACTGATGTTGCGTGACTACATGCCCCTCTGATGACCACTGTGTGCTGTATTTCTATTCCTAACAGTGGAAATGTTTATTTGTTTGTTTACTGTGGCCAAGCCTGTAAAGAATAATCTATAAAGAAACAGACTTTTAAAAATTAAACTACTTTGAGAAATGGAGTGAAAATAACTGGAGTAAAAAGTGTGACGATCAACCCTGTAAAGCCTGACATGATAGAAAAATATAATATTTTGAATAAAACAGTTTTGAAACTCGAAAATGTATTTAAGAAAAAAGTTTGCATATGTGTTTCATGTTTTGTACTGTATTTGACACATCAGGCGTTTATGGCTCAAATAGTGAGTTTGTCACTCTCACTGAAGAAAGAAAATTTATTCAGAGGCAATGCATAAAATATGCAATTAGGCCAAAAAGATGAAATAATATGGCCAAAGTCTGATAGCTTATAATGTACATCAAAGAGATTTTTACTATAATAGTATCAGAATACTTAAAATACAAATAAATGTCAGTTGTCACTCTGTATCTCCCCAAAATATGTTTTAGTAAGATGAAATATAATTTTATGATCAAAGCTCAAAACATACAATGCAATGCGAAACAATGACTAAGGAGAAATACAAATAAACTTTCCCCAAAAGCCTGATTTCACATGATTTTTCAACAAAAAAAAAAAGTATGAATAATCACGTCAACCTAAGTTGCTTTAGTTCATTAATTAAATGCTCTTGATATTGTTCTTGAAATATTAATAGCAGCAATATAAAAGTTATTCTTACATTTAGCAAAGCTTTGTTGATATTGATAATTCGATATCGATCAAATATGATACAGTATGCTTTATAGGGTTAAGCTTCTTAAATTTATTGAATAATAAATATTTTGCGTAATGAATGCATATCCTTTGTTAGGTGTGGTTATCTTTTTAATATAGGCAACTATTTATTTGCTTTGTACCATTTTTAACTGTATGAAGCTAATCTGCGTTTGTAATATTAATTAAATTAAAATTTAACAACTAAACTGAAAATTGAGAGAGAGAGAGCGAGAGAGAGAGAGTGAGAGACATATTTGAAAAATCAGCAAAACAATCCAAATTGAAAACTAAAAATGACAAAAATTGGTTTGATCAAGACTGCCAAACTATTCGCAAAAAACTGAGAACATTGTCAAATCAGAAACACAAGGATCCAAATAATGCAGAGAGCCGCCTTCTTTACAGTGAAACACTAAAACAATACAAACATACACTCACAACCAAAAAAGCACAATACACCCAAAAACAACTGGCAATAATCGAGAAGTCAGTGAACACAAACCAATTTTGGGAAAATTGGAACAATCTGAAAAAAACTGATCATGAAGAATTGGCAATACAAAATGGAGAAATATGGGAAAGTCATTTCCAAACATTGTTTAATAAAGTACAAACAGACACAAACTGTAAGCAAAATCAAACAATCAACCAGAGAGAGAGAGAGAGAGAGAGAGAGAGAGAGAGCGCGAGAGAGTCTCGATAGGAGTGGCAGTGCTGCTCGTGACTTCACTTCAAACATGGCCGCACAGGACGAGCTCAGTAAGTTTAACTCATTGTACATGTATTACTTCTTCATTACCGCATACTTGTTTTCAATACCCTTTTCATTATTGGTCACTCTAATGAAAACTGAGTTCGTGCTGTGTGTTTGTTTGCCTGTAGTTACATAAATAAATATTTGTAAAGTGAATATCAGTTTGGCAGCTAGCCGGCTAGTTATTTTTTACAGAGGCCCAATGCTCAGTCATGCTCTAAAATGAAAGTACCTCTTTTTGGGTTTGTCTCAATTAGAGGACACTACAACCTCTATTTACCGCGAAATTTGCGTTATCCAAATGCCATAGTGGTCCAGGCCTGGTTGCCATTTATTGACAGCGTGAGAAATAAGTATAACGTTATAGATAATAACCGTTAACGCTGGTTAGCAGCGAGGCTATTCTGGTCACAGGCTAACCAACTAGCGATTAGAGCGTCTGTATTTACAGGTTTTCTGTATTTAGAGTTAGTCTTATTTTGTGTTGTTCATTGCAAACTTGTTAAATATTCTTATGGTAATTTGATTTGTTTAGAGAGCCGCCGAAATGCACTCATGTCAGAGACATAATGCATTGCAGTAATTCTCAGTGTCTCTTTAATAAATCGTCTTATTAAAGAATAGACCTCTTATAATTAATCTATGACCATGCAGGAAGAATGTGAGAATTTTTTCATTCAAATCAATTTGAAAATAGGCAAGTTAGTGCTGTTTATTTTGAGCACACTCCATCTGGCACTTACTTTACTGCTTTCTCTTTGTTTCCCATTATAGACCAGTTGGAGCGTGTGTTTTTACGCTTGGGTCATGCAGAAACGGATGAGCAGTTGCAGGATATTATATCCAAATTCCTGCCCCCTGTCCTCCTCAAACTATCCAGTGCGCAAGAGGGGGTTCGCAAGAAAGTAAGAGCCTCAGTGAATGTTTTCACACTTGAAATTGTTGCATTTATGTCCATCAGTCGTCCTCCGTGTGAAAAGATGGATCTCAAAATCATACAGTCACTGTTGTAAAGGGTTCACATATGCAGAATGATCTTTTGCACATTATACAATATGGGAAAATGTTAATGTTCTTAATGCAAAATTATTATAAAATGTATATTGGAGTCCCTGTGTTGACTCATAGTCTGCTTGGGGATCCTTGGGACTGTAATGGTTGAAAACCATTGGAAGGATAATAGAAAAAATGAATGCTTTGTGCATGTTTATATGAGAGATGCATGTTCAAAACTCACTTCTCTACGCTGTTAATGTCGCTCCTCTAGTGATTCATAGTCCAAAAGTAGCACCCATGAGAGTAATTTCAAAAATCTATTAAAAATATGGATTTTATTATTGTCCTCTCCAGGTTATGGAGTTGCTGGTACACCTGAACAAAAGGATAAAGAGTCGACCCAAGATTCAGCTTCCTGTAGAAACACTGTTGGTTCAGTATCAGGACCCTGCTGCTGCATCTTTTGTCACGGTATGGTCATGTCACAATCACCGCTGTCAGTACTCAATGTGATTAACCTTGAGATGGGACGTGTTATTTATGCCAAGGTTGTATATTCCCTTATTATAAAGTTTGACTGTGTCTGTGCTCGCAGAACTTCACTATCATCTACATAAAAATTGGCTATCCTAGGCTGGAGGTCTCCAAACAGTGTGAGCTTGCACCTACTCTACTCACAGCAATGGAAGGCAAACCTCAGCCCCAACAGGATAGGTTAGTTTCAGCTTTACTTGAAATCAAACAAGGTTGTTTTCATTATTAAGAAAGAACTGGTTAATAACACATGTATAATAAATTATAATATTTTGTATTATGAAATGTATTTATTATTAATTATATACAATGCGGTTTAAAATATTGTGATCGGTAAGATTTTTTTTGAAAGAAGTGTCTTATGCTCACCAAGGCTGCATTTATTATAATAATAATAATAATAATAATATATTATAATAATAATAATTATAAAAAATACAAAAGCAAAAACTGTAATATTGTGAAATATTATTACAATTTATAATGACAGTTTTCTATTTTTATCTATTGAAAAATATAATTTGTTCCTGTGATGGAAAAGCTGAATTTTCATCATAATTACTCCTGTCTTCAGTGTCACATGATCCTTCAGAAATCATGCTAATATGCTGATTTGCTGCTCAAGAAACATTTCTTCTTATTATTATCAATAGTGAAAACATGCGCTACTTAATAGTTTTTTGTGGAAAATGTGATACATTTTTTCTTCTGGATTCTTTAATGATTAGAAAGTTCAAAATAGCAGCATTTATTTGAAATAGAACTTTTGCATTGTTTCAAAAATAATATTGAAGTAAAACAAATTGAATAAAAGCAATAATTTCTTTAAAAAAACTTTTGAATTGTAGTATATGCATATTATATATTTTTTTTTTTAAATATCTGTTGTTATTGCAAATATGTCAGTACTGAACAGTATTGATGTAGTCTGCCTCTTCTCTCTCTCTAGTCTAATGCATCTGCTGATCCCTACACTGTATCATATGAAATATCCATCAGAGCCATCTAAAGCGTCCCCATTTGTCCTGACGGAGAGACCCAGAACTGTACAACTGCTCTTAGAGTTCATGCTTGATGTTCTTCTGATGCCTTATGGGTATGTCAAGTAGATGTGTACAATAGGTTGTAGTTGGTAATGGTAATGCTGTAATCTCATTAACTCTATCTCTCAAATTATATCAAGGTTTGTGTTAAATGAGCCTCGTCCGGCCCCTTCGTCTCCACAAGGTGGATCTGGAACAGGAGCTGCGGCAGCACAAGGTCTCCCTCAGCCTCCTCCAGGAATGAGTGTTTATGCAGTTAAAAGAGTCATTGGAGAAGCTCAGTGGAGCCCAGAGCAACTGGAGCAGGTGAGGTTGCTAAGAAAATGTGTTGGAGGATATTTGCTGTTTTTAATGGGAGATGTTTCGCCTCAGTTCCATCTACACCAATAATTGTTTAGAGAATGAATGAATTGGAAAAGCCGCTTTACTCTTTCTGATTCTTCACTGAGTAACCGCCACATCATTGTGTTTGCAGTGTAAACTGGGAATTGTGAAGTTTATAGAGGCAGAGCAGGTGCCTGAGGTTGAAACAGTCATTCACTTAGTTGTGGCTTCAAGTGACACCAGGCACAGTGTCGCCACAGCAGCTGATCTGGAACTCAAAAGCAAGCAGAGGTGAGGCTCTCTGTGATGATGTCAAATGAAACCATGAGGTCTTGATTTTGAAACTCATCTCTTGTGTCGTGTTTTGTACTGCAGCATTATTGACTGGAACAATCCACTCATTATCAACAAAATGTATAAAGTTTACCTGGGTGATATTCCACTCAAAACTAAAGTAAGTATATGCATTAGACATGGTCGGTCTAATACCATTATTACTTTCATATTCAGTGACATACACTACATAAGGGGTGTGTGTGTTTGTGTTTTTACTCAGGGTGCCACAGTGAAACAGGAGCTGAAGCATGAGCCCGTCAGCACCAGAGTCAAGATGAAGATTCTGCCTCATCTTCTCCGCTCCAGACTGGCTGCTGAGTGCTTTCCTGCTAATATCCAGGTCAGAGAGAGAATGTTTGACAGAAAGAAAGTGAATGCAGCTGAGATGCATGTTGAAAGAGAGACAAATAGAGGCAGGCAAGCAGTAAGTCAGAACTTGTTCAACGGATCATCGTAACGGTGATTGTCTCTTTGTTTAGGTTGTTTATGATGGACTTTTTGGAGCGAACACCAACAACAAACTCCTGTCCCTCACTCTGCAGTTTGTACATCATATCTGTATGGTGTAAGTGTCAATGATCACTAGCAAATCACATGGAAAATCACATTTACTACAATACCAAACATTTTTGATAGCTTCCAATGTTGTAGCCATGTATGAATCCAGTAGTTTATTTTGTGTGCATTTGCATCAGATGGTCTGTCTGAGGTAATAATAATTGTGTTTTAATCTGAAGGTGCCCTGATAGCAACAAACCTTTGGGTTTGATGCTGCTGAATGGACTTACCAAGCTTATTAATGAATATAAAGAGGTATGAACCCATGCTGAACAATGTAGGATTTAGTTCTAAGTCAAATTTAGTGTTTTTCAGAAGTATCTGTCAAAGTGACATTCATTTATTATTTTATTATAAGGACCCCAAACTACTATGTATGGCCTACTCGGCTGTTGGAAAACTTTCAAGGTAATATAAACATTTTATAACCAGCTAAAATAATATATTTGAGCAAACAATATATATATAATTATTATTTTTTTCAATATTATTATTCATTTAAATGTTATTTTGTATAACTAAAAATTCATGTGTAAAATGTGTATATTCCTTTTTTCCTCTTTGCTATAATAGTCGAATGCCTCAGCTTTTCACAAAAGACATTGCATTGGTACAGCAGTTTTTTGAGTCCATGTGCAAGGTTTGTTTAATACTCATTTTGTACAGTAGTTATCCAGTTATTACTGCATGACCTGTTGTAAAATCTTAACCTAGTTTCTCTCAATGAAAACAGGAGGATGCTGATGTACGATTGGCCATACAGGAGGCCTTGTCAATGATGGTGGGAGCATATGTACATCTTCAAGGGGCGCTTCTGAACCTAATGGAAGCACTTGTGGCTGCATATATCACAAAGGTTTGTTATTATTATTGCAAGCACCTAGAAAGAATAAACAAACGTCTCAACGTTAAATATGAAATTACACGCTTGGACTCAAAGTTGGGTTAAATACCCTGTTGTATCATTAAGTTTAAGATTAAATATAAAGGAAAAGTAATTTACAGTGTGTAATGTTTTGTTGCTTATGGTTTTGTGTTAGCCGGAGGTACAGGTGCGTCAGATAGCGATGAAATTTGCCATCACAGTGTTTGCTCCTGATCACGTAGCCTCTAGATATCTCTTACTGCTGGCTGCAGGAGATCCGTGAGTATATACTTACACTTCCTGGAGTTCTTTCAAGTTTTCAATTAAGCGTTGTCATGAAAGATGTACATCATATGGCCTGTGTTTTTAGTCGTGAGGAGGTGTCTGGGGAGGCTCGGCGAGCCCTTCGGTCTCTCCCCTCTACGAAGACAGAGAAAGAGGGATCAAGGCCCATGCCGTCATTCCCTGAGATGGTCAGCTACATCCAGGAAAAGGTGGGGTGTTTCAATTTGTTATTACTTAATTATAACTGATGTGTCATGACCCAAAATGGGTCTCAGCTCTGTTCTGATGCTAAATGCAAATAATATAAAATGCAGGTAATATAGAGGCTGATCCTTTGTTATTTTGTGTCATAGGCTGCACAGAGATTGAAGACTCCTGCCAAATACATTGTTGGTACTTACACTTTGCCTTTTAATCCTGCCACATTTGGAGAGGTAAATTAACAGTCTTTAGACTTAAAGGGATAGTTCATTCAAAAATGAACATTTTGTCATTTACTCACCCTCCACTTGTTCCAAACTTGTATGAGTTTCTTTCTTCTGCTAAACACAAAATAAACTTTTAAAGAATGTTAATAACCAAACAGTTGACGGTAGCCATTGACTTCCGTACTATTTTTTTTTTCATACTATTGAAGTTAGGGGTAATGAAATATCGTGTTAATTAGGGGTGTTGCAATATACCGGTATTGGCGATATATAAAAATGAATAGTACACATAGGACAATATAACACAATAATCCAGCGCCATTATGGAGCGCTAAACTCTCACATGTAATTTTGTTTCATTCAAGCTCGACGCAGGATAGTCCACAAGCGAGACTCATAGGAGTAAAAGAACTTATGACATTCCGGGAAATCCTTGTAGGCATCCAGCTATCGTTGTAGATGAGTAAAATGCAGAAAGAAATGTTTTATCTCAGGGCTCCAGACTAACATTTGAGAGCAGTGGCACCAGCGCCACTAAGTTCTACAGATGGTGGCGCCAGGAGCAGATTTGGTAGCGCTGGGGGGTGGTGTGTGGGAGTATTAAAATATAGATCATTTAATTATAAAATTATTATTGTTTTGCAAGTGCAGTTACTAATAATATTTCATGTTCATTTCTTGTTTATTTTTCTTTTGTTTATTGTTTATACAGATTTGACAAAAGCACAAAGCTTGAGTTAAGATGCATACAAAATTCACTTTTATTATCAACAGTAACAAGTGCAAAATCAAATTTTTATATAGAAAATTGATATATTCCACTCTTAATAAATGTACCATTATTCTTCTAGTATATGAAACTGACCAACTTCAGTGATTGTGTGATTTAGTAGCAAATTGAAGAAAAGTTTGTTTTTCAAGGCACTTTGTGACTTTTCTTACTTCATACACAAAAAAGTGTAAAATTCTGACAATCTGATTTCTTGATGATTTTATATTTTATAATAGTGATTTTATAATTTCAAAATATATAGAAAAAGTATAAATTAATGACTAGCAAGCCAGTAAGTGCTCCTCTGCTGCTGTCTACTGGTTATAATTGTGTTTTGATGTATTTTTTTAAAGGGGTCATATGATGCTATTTTAAAGATAATTATTTTGTGTATTTGGTGTATCACAAATCCCGGAAAATATGCGTTGTAGTCCAAACGAGTCGTTCATTGTAGTTTTTGAAAAGTGATATCTGTTAAATAAAATATCTCCTTTTGAAGTGGAGCTTTGAGCTTTGTAACTTTGCAGATCTTTTTTATGCTCAAACAGCAACATTACAAACTAACTAAAGTTGAAAAAGTGAAAAAGCATAATAGGACCCCTTTAAACTAATAACAAAACAAATTGTCATAGCAAAGTCGGAATTGAAATTTTTTTTTATTTAAGAAATAGCCTTTGTGCACAGCCAACCTTGTATTCTTCTAGGTTCAAAAAACTGTCGTCCATAAAATGCGTTGCACGAATTCGACCATCTGGGTTGTGATGTTCTGTTGTAAATAAATCTTAACCAATGATTCCTAATTGTATCTACTTCCGGAAGGGCAAATAAAGGGCTTTTGCTTTCGCACTGATACACAGCATCTCCCTGACATGGCTGCATCAACACTACTGCTGTTCCTGAAACCACGCCTTCTTTCTTTGCATGCACATTTGGGCAGCATTATGCTAATATTTCCACATAGTGACATAGACATGTGGGGGTGTGTTAGAACGAGCCTTTTTAGGTAGGCGTGGCTGACTCATAACTTTTATATCTCTTTGGATTTGAGACTTTAGTCTTTGCAACCTTACAGATCTTCTTTATGCACCAAGAGCTTGTAACACTCCAAAGAGAAAGGAAAACTTGAAATCGCATCATATGACCCCTTTAAATTTTACTATATTTTGGTCATCCCATTAAAAATAACATTCAAACTGGATCATAGAGCTTTAAAGTGCTGGAAATAGTTGTGTGAAATGCTTGAAAGTCATTGAAAAGTGCTTGAATTTCTCTCTCAAAAGGTTGTACAAACCCTGAAATGAATGATGTAATGCATTCGACTATTTCTACCACAACACCATGGTTAAAGTTAGCGTTACCGCTTCTGGTTTCCTGACGTATGTCAGCGCTGTTAATAACCAAAGTCCCTTTAAGCTATTCTATAGTCTTTGTTATAATGGAGAATTCTGAACAGAATTTGAATGATTCTCACTAGATCTCACAGCAACCTTATCATTGTGAGGCGAATTCAAACGCTTATCACTGAATCTCACAGCACTGTTGCATCTGTGCAGTAACAGAGTCGCGAAATCAACTTTGGCTCCCGAGTAAAGCTGTTCTGAGCTCGTACAAGTTTGTTTGCGTCGCGGTGAAGACAGTCAACAAACATGTATATGTTTTATCTGTGTTCTTCAAGCCATCTCAGGTAATTTAATAAGGATATGTATTTATAAAGTAATGCTAATCGACATAGCATTTATCAATGTATTAAATACTATAAAATATAATTTCTGCCTCATTCTGTGATTAAGAATCAGTTCACAGAAGGAAGTTATTTAAAAAACTCGTTTGGAGTAAAAAAAATTTATTCTCAAAAACTGTTGTACTTTGATGCTGTAGTAAACTAAAAACGGTTAGCATTTTAGTCTCTTCTGTTTAGTGTAATTGTTCTTTTTGTATGCGATGGTGTGATTCATTGGTCAAAAATAATGATGAATTTGACTGATAGCATGGTTTATTTATTTGTTTATTTTTATTTCTCAAGATTTCTATATATACCGCTATATATCGTTATTGTGAGTTTTTGTGGCCCCAATAGTCGTGTAGTGAAAACTCTAATATCGTGACAGCCCTAGTGGAAGTCAATGGCTACCGGCAGCTGTTTTGTTGAACAAGTGGAGGGTGAGTAAATGATGACAGAATTTTCATTTTTGCGTGAGCTGTCCCTTTAAGAATTCTTTCAAAAGTTTATTTCATTAATAAACATGCCACATGTATTTTTACTTGCACAATGGCATCTCTTTATTACTCTTTTGTTTCCACAGATAGTTCTTTATCTGAGAATGTGTTTAGCTTATAGTGCTGGTGCCACATCCACATCTCAGAGCCTGATGGACATGCAGGATGATGCCCCTCTTATCGGACGCTATGTTCAGTCATTACTGTCCAATGAAGCTTCTCCTTCCTCGGCCACTAAAGGAGGAGAGGCCAATCCAGTTCACATATACATGGCCTTACTGCAACAGCTGCTGTCAGCTGTAGGGGGTGAGGAGTTTACAAATTATGGCTTTTAAGAGGGTTGGGCAGTATGATTATCTAAAACTGGCATTACTACATATATGGAATATACATAATCTACAGGAAATAGATTAAGTGGATTATTGTAGATTTTATTTGTTGTGATATTATTCATTAATACAGGTATCCCAGTGATGTACTGTCTTTTGGAAGTGGTCTCTGTGTGTCCAGAGAAACTTACCCCCAACTTTGTTGACAAAATCGACTGGATTAAAGTAATTATTATATTGCATTATATTATATTACCATTAGGTAAGGTGAACCTAAGGTTTGGTGTCAGTGTTGTTGTTTTTTTTTTATAATTTTTTTTATTCAGCAGTGATGCATTAATTTGATCATAAGTGACAGTAAAGACACTTCAATGTAAGATAAATAAATAAATGTTCTTTTTAAGTTTTTGTTCATCAAAGAATCCTGACAAAAAAAAATGTATTACAAAAATATTAAGTAGCATTTGCACTGATAATAGAAGGAAAAGTTTTTTTCAGCACCGAATCAGCATATTAGAATAATTTCTGAAGGATCATGTGACACTGAAGAATTCAGAAAGAATTTTTTTTTTCAAAAACATAAAAAATCTTAATGATCCAAAACGAAGTGTATATTATATTATATCCTCCAGAATGAAGACTGTAAGTATGTCTGACCTAAAAATTGTAATTTGGTTAATTAATAATGTTTGTTTTGCAGGGTCTCATGAACACTAATAAAGAAGACATGCGTGAATTGGCAGCACAACTGTACGCTGTAGTTGTTTCTACTATGTCTGGAAATGAGCTTAGAACTGCTGTACAAAACCTGATTAAGACAACAAAAGACACACATGTATGTTTAAAGTAGTGTAATGTTTTTTAAATTGAGAAATGTATCACATATTTGAATTTTTTTTATTTTTTTATTTATTATTTTTTTTTTTTAACTTTAAGAGTCCTGAGACTCAGCATGGTGCCATCTTGGCTCTGGGCTACATGGTGGGCAGATACATGAATAAGAGGCGGAGCCTAATGCCTACTGAACCCACTCCCAAAGAAAATGAGGAACTAATTGCCATAGCCACAAAAGCCATCGGTAAATGATTTATTTATCGGAAAAGTGCCTTTTCACATAGAGTTTCACACATGACACTTGATATTGGGATGCTCTTGAATAACACAATGAACTTTGTTTCATTAGTTAACTATTGCAACAAAAACGTAAAATTATATACTACCAATGTGTTTGTCTTGCAGGTTCATTTTTGGATAGCGAGTCTCCTCTGTTGACTGTTGCTGCTGTGACGGCATTGGGAGAGATTGGGCGTAACAGCGTGTTGCTGATACCAGCTGATGGAAATGGCTTCACTAAACTCAGTCTAGTGGATAATCTGCTTGCCAGGATCCCATCTGGAAAAGAGACTGGCAAGGTAAAACAAAACACACACTCTGAGTGAATGATTGTGACCGTATTATTGATGTGTGCATTCTTCATCCAAATACAAGCTTCTGTACAGATCAATTTTCACACTGTTTCCTCAATGAAATGAAGTGTTTGTGGTACTGATTGTCTGCTCTTTGTGTTGTCAGATGAAAGAACGTGCCATCCAGACTCTTGGGTTTCTGCCGGTGGGAGATGGTGAATTCCCACACCAGAAGAAAATCCTCCAGGGCCTCATGGATTCAGTAGAGGTAATGTGATGTGTCATGAAGAAGGTCATAACATTTCAAGCCAATATAAATGATGTTCTTAATTATACCTTTTATTAATTCTAAATAAAATACAAACAAATGATTTATTGTGTATTACAAGTAACATTATTTACTATGTATGCGTAATGTGTTTTGTCTAGGGCTGCCAAGTGATTAAAATTGTTAATCTAATTAATTAAATGATGTGCTGATTAATTAATCGAATGCATCAATTCTGGCTGATAAATTACCTCCCAAAAGATCATTTAAAGTCATTATTGTGTTAAACGAGAAAAGCATTGAATAGACATTACAAAAAGTACCTTTAAAAAATAATATTGATTCAACATAGAAAAAAAATGAATATTGAAATAGAAAATTATTATTAATTTTTTACAAAAATGAAATGGTACTCTAAATATGTAAATAAAACTGCCAGTAAGTGGCAACAAGTCATTTGTTCATTAAGCCAATTCATTTAAATGGCTGATATTTATGAATTGGTCAATGAAGCATTGCCTCACTCGATTTGTTCAAAACTTGGATTTATTCAGTAACAAAATGCTGTTGTGTGTTGCTCAAGATGTGGCTTTGTTTGGAACTATTTACATTGGTGAAACTAAGCAAAAACAGACAACACTGGCAATATTGTCTCAAAAATGTAACACGAGATTAACTTCTTGTTTAGTGAGCTGTTGTATAAAGTCAAATCATATTTGCAATCGTGCAGATATTCAGGGGAAAAAAACAGCACTCTTGCTCGTGTGATATTGCTAAACTGCTATATATCATATGATCTAAATATAAGACAAAAACCCATACAGGGACATTTTTTGCTCTCATATCTTGAATTTTAGGGGCATATAACTGGATTTGAATAGACTACATTACGCAGTCAGTCGCATCCTGCATCACATTCATTAGCAACTGCTTGCAAAGATGACATACAGGTCTGGGCTGTTGAATGCATTAATAATTTTAACACATTATATTTTCCATAATTAATGCCTTAAATCGACAACCCTATTTTTGTTAAAATGAATTCATATTAAATAAATAATATGAAAAAAATGATGTGGCCATTTCTTCACATTTATTATTCTTAAATGTTGTGTTGGGTTTCTTTAGGCCAAGCAGGTGGAGCTACAGTTTACAGTAGGAGAGGCTTTAACTAATGCTGCTATAGGAAGCTGCTCTGGAGCTGCCCGAGATGTGTGGACTTGCACAGATGACCAATACTGCCCGCCTGACAGTAAGTATGTGTGGGAGAGATAGAGAGAGGGAACAAGGGAACACACTTGTCTTACTTGTGCATACATGACTTTTGGACAAGCCCTGATTCAGAGTTGTGCACTTAAATAATTTCTTTCTTCCTCTTTCAGATGTGAAGAATAATGATATTGTGCCCTGGGTTTTGAACTCTGTCTTGTCAAAATATATATCAAGTCCAAACCCTCATGTTCGGCAGGCTGCCTGCATATGGCTCTTGTCTCTAGTCAAGAAACTCAGCCATCACAAAGAAATCCAGGTAAATACATACAAAGTGCACTCCCAGTCTCATTCACACATACAAAAAAAAACATTGACGTTGCAAAGCATCTGTTCTCTCTTTGCCTCTGATAGTCTCATCTGAAGGAGATCCAGACAGCCTTTATTTCTATCTTGTCTGATCCAGATGGTGAGTGACATACTGCTTCTTTATGATACTGCTCTTGTAAAGGTCCCATTACATTTTGACAGTCTCTAAAGTTGGGGAGCTTGTGGGCAAGATTGATAGTTATGATCTGTGTGTGTAGAACTCAGCCAAGATGTGGCATCTAAAGGACTCGGGATGGTTTATGAGCTCGGAGGAGAACAGGATCAACAGGAATTGGTATCAACCCTTGTGGAAACTCTCATGACTGGTAAAAGGTATTAATAAACCAGTTTATTTCTGGTATTCCTTTTATTATTATGGACTTTTGGAGTATGATTTGTCATAAATTGCATTATGAAGACTTACCAAGCCCCTGAATATGAATCAATTACTCTATATAGGCTACTAACCAGATGCAGACAGCATCTGATTTATTTTTTATTTTTTCAATGAGCTACATCACAGAATAATATATCTTGGGCTAGGGCTGTGCAAAAAATCGAATGTGATTTTCATGCGCATCTCGTCAATAATGGTGCTCCTGTGATTAGTAGTAAATCTGACAAGCTATGCAAAATTGCGTTCAAAATCACAGGCGATTCATTGCCGATTATGAACGCTATTTTGTGTAGCTTGTCAGTGAACTACGGCTCTGTGTAGTAAATGCCGCTCCATCTGAAAGCACATGCTGGAGATTTACTACAAATCACAGGAGCGGCTTTAGTGACGAGATGTGCATGAAAATCGTATTCGATTTGTTGCACAGCCCTATCTTGGGCACTTGGATACATTGCAACGTGTATGATTCGCTCCTGACTATTTTGATAGCTTTGAGATTTTATGTTTTCAGAGCCAAACATACCGTCTCAGAGGACACTGAAGTCTTCCGGGGGGAGTCCCTTGGTAAAGCACCTGATGGGTACGTCCTTCTTTTATTATATTTCAGATGGTTTCAAAACATTTTAAGGGAGTAGGACTTCACAGATTTGAGAATGCATTTTTAATGAGATTACAGGACTAGACGTTTTCTTTCATCGTATATTGTTTTGATCGTTTACTTTGGTAGACAAGGACTCTCAACCTATAAGGAGCTCTGTGCATTGGCTAGTGATCTAAACCAACCGGATCTTGTTTATAAGTTCATGAATCTTGCCAATCACCACGCCATGTGGAATTCCAGGAAGGTAAACTATATTAACCATGATGTGATTGTTTATAACTTGGCAACTTATTATTCAGAGCCTTTTTCAGTAGCATGCAATGATCGTTGACTCTTCCTGTACTGTAGGGGGCAGCATTTGGGTTTAACATTATTGCAGCTAAAGCAGGTGAGCAGCTGGCTCCTTTCCTGCCTCAGCTGGTTCCCCGTCTCTATAGATATCAGTTTGATCCCAACCTGGCCATCAGGCAGGCCATGACTAGCATCTGGGATGCTCTGGTCACGGATAAAACCATTGTAAGATATTATTACAACTCAGAATCATGAATTACATTGCTTAAAAGATAGTAGGGACACAGTATTGTTATTACAATTATATTTTGTTTATTTTTGACAGGTGGAAAAATATTTTAAGGAAATTCTTCAAGATGTCATTTCCAGCCTCACTAGTAACATGTGGAGGGTGCGGGAGTCAAGGTAAATTGTCTAGATATGCTTGAAAGAACCTTGATTTCCTCTCTTCTAGATTGGGTTCAAATCATCAGGGCCCTTTTATTTATTAATTTTTTCCAGCTGTTTGGCTTTGAACGATCTGATACGTGGAAGGCAGGCAGATGAAATCATTGACCGCCTGTCAGAAATCTGGGAGACTCTGTTTCGGGTCCTGGATGATATAAAGGTGATAAATAAAAGGCTGCTGTATTTTTTTGCGGTGTTCTGTGTGTGCTTGTTTGTAATCTACAGCCGGTTTCATTTGACCGTCTTATTTGTTTCCTATTGTAGGAGTCAGTTCGTAAGGCGGCAGATCTGACTCTAAAGACTCTCAGTAAAGTGAGTTGCAGCACTGAATACTGGATATTCCAATGATTTCCCACTCTTGAGACCTCATCACAGATAACTGGTGTGTGTGTGTGTGTTTGTCCAATAGGTGTGTGTGCGCATGTGTGAATCAACAGGTGTTACTGCTCAGAGGACAGTGGCTGTGTTGTTGCCAACTCTGCTGGACAAAGGCATCGTCAGCAACGTAACCGAAGTGCGGACTCTCAGGTAAGAACACATGCATTGACCAGCCACATGCACACAAACCATAATAAATCTTTATATTCAGAGTAAAAGTCTTGAGTATTGCTTTGTTTTAGTATCCAAACTCTAGTGAAGATCAGTAAAACAGCTGGCAGCCGTCTGAAGCCCCATGCTCCTCGACTCATCCCGGCTCTGCTGGAGGCCCTGAGCGTGCTGGAACCACAGGTGCTCAACTACCTCAGTCTGAGAGCCACAGAGCAGGAGAAGGTGAGCCGCTCTGTGATAATCTGGTATGGAAGACTAGACGTCAAGTCACTTTTGTTTATATAGCGCTTCATACAACTGAGATTGCTTCAAAGCAAATTCCCAGTATTAAACAGGAAAGTAACGGAATCATTGATGCAAACTTGATCAAATATGAGGCAAGTCCAAATTTTGTTATAAAGCAGCGCTAACAAGACAATAGTGTCTGTTGTTCCTGCTCTTACTAATTGGAACATACCATTTACAAAAAAAATAACTATTGCCTCATTTCATTCCAAAGATGTGATTATTGCACATAAACATTTCCATAAATTGCTAAAATTAATCATTTCCCATCAGGTTTGTGCTTCCGTGTAGGCCACTCTGCTAAAATAGGACATATAAACAGCGAACCCCAAATAAATATTGTGAAATAACCAATACACAAGAACAGTATGAACACAGTAAAATACAGTGATGGAGGACTGCAGTCTCTCCATCACACACTTAAACACAAAATGAAGGAATCAATTATTTATATTCTCTTATTTAGTCAATGTATAATTTATATTTATGCATTTTTTATACTTTTTCTTTATATGTATATATATATATATATATATATATATATATATATATATTTGTATTTTTTTTGTAAATAGACATACCTTAAACTCTACATTTAATTCATGTTTAAGGATGTGGTTAAATGTAACAAATTTGTAAAAAATAATAGTAATAAATCATTATCCAAAATGGTCCAAACTGACAAATAAATAGACATATTTAAAAGTTGATTTAATTTGTTTAAAATGTTAGTTAAATGTAATAATAAAATAATACTTTTTATTTTAGTTTTATTTATTTATTTATTTATTTATTATTTACAAAGCGAGTTTGTGTTTATCCAAACAATGGCCAATATAGAGCGTTTGAAAAGTGCCATTATTTTTGGTATTCCTTTTGTTGACATTAGTTATATAGATGTTACACACCTCACGTTCTGAATGTACTGAACTCATTTTCACATTTCCTTCTATGGCAGAGTGCAATGGATGCCGCAAGGTTAAGTGCAGCCAAGTCCTCTCCTATGATGGAAACCATTAATATGGTAAGACACATCAAGTTTATCCTTATGACGCGTTAGCTACATTCCAAATGGGTAATTACAAGAGCATTTAATTACAAAAACACATCTATTTGCATGTAGCCACATTTACAAGTGTATTTTTAGACTGCAATGTTTATGTGTGCTGTGTTTGTGTTTTTAGTGTCTACAGCACTTGGATGTATCTGTCTTAGGCGAGCTTGTTCCAAAACTTTGTGATCTACTAAAGAGTGGAATCGGACTTGGAACAAAGGTACACATCCTGCTCGATTTTTGTCAGTAATGCACTTTTGCTCCCACATGCTGACAATTGTATGTGTTGTTGTAGGGAGGATGTGCCAGTGTGATTGTGTCATTGACAGTGCAGTGCCCTCAAGATCTCACACCATATTCAGGTAACATGTACTGACAGATCAGAGGGGTTATACTGTTTTGTACATTTATAAGTCTTATACGTGTGTTACACATGTTTTTCTTGGTCTTGTCTCACAGGTAAACTCATGAGTGCACTCCTAAATGGGATCAATGACCGTAGTAGCGTTATTCAGAAGTCATTTGCCTTTGCCATTGGACATCTGGTCAGGGTATGAAAACACACCTTGAATACGTATGTCAATTGAACCTAATGCAACTACAGAGCTACAAAACAATACTCTTTGTTTTCCCCATCAGACAGCCAAAGACGGCAGCGTTGAGAAGCTTCTGCAGAAACTGAATACCTGGTACCTGGAAAAAGAGGGTAGGAAGACTTAGACTTTAAAGCAATAGTTCACCCAAATATGAATGCCCTCATGTCCTTCCAAACCCAAATGACTTGACTTTCTTTGGTCGAACACAAAAGAAAAAAGTTGGCGTTGTGCTATGTAAAAGAGCAGCTTGAGCATTCCTTCAAAACATCTGTTTTTGTGTTCCATGAAAAACGGACAGTCATAAGGTTTTGGAATCACATGACGATGAGTTAATGATGACCACATTTTAATTTATGGGTGAACCGTTCATTTAATGAAGAGGATTTCTCTTGAATAATAAGAATTGTGTAAACCCTTGTGCTATCTAGATTTGTGAAGTGTTTTCTGTAATCCTCAGAGGCACTATACAGGTCCTCATGTTGTCTGGTGGTTCATGCCATCAGTCACTACAGTCCTGATGTGTTGAAGGCTCATGCTGGAGTGGCTCTGCCGCTGGCATTTCTGGCCATGCATCAGGAGCCCGAGGAAGAGAAGGGAGAGAGTGCCGAGGCCAACCTGTGGTCTGAGGTCTGGCAGGAACATGTACCTGGTAGGTTAAGATGCACAACCCTTGGAGGAGAAAAGATAGTTTTGGAGATGAATTCATAATATTTTGAACGACCTGAAATCAAATCTTAAAAAAAAAAAAAAGCAGTCTTTTAACCCTTTACGTTTTTTCATTGGGTGTGTAAAGATTTTATTTTAAAGGGGTCCTATTATGCTTTTTCACATTTTCAACTTTAGTTAGTCTGTACTGTTGCTGTTTGAGCATAAAATAGATCTGCAAAGTTACAAAGCTCAAAGTCCAATTCAAAAGGAGATATTTTATTTAACCGAAATCACTTTTCAAAAACTACAACGAACGACTCGTTTGGACTACAACGCATATTTTCCGGGATTTGGGATATCACAAATATCGATGAATGGGATGAGACCTGGTTGAGCTGCACTAGAGAAGGCAACGAGTGTTATCACTATGTCGGAGATACGCTAACTTTCCCAAGGCAGATGAACTTAGAGTGGTTACAATCATGCAGGTTTAAATCACGCTCAAATTGATTTGATTTTGACGCAATATTTACACTGAAGCATGCAGGTAAAGGTAAGGTAAGGGGCGTGACATTTCTCGACCAGGCGCCGAGTGGAGCCAATCACAACCCACACTGGCCCAGCTAACCAATCACAGCACATTTCGTATTTCAGAAGGCGGGCTTTCATTTGATACAGGAACTATTCGAGCCGTTCATGCCAGACTGGGGAGAGAGGTGTTGTAATAATGTAAAATATGTGAAAAATAATGTGTTTTTCGAACAACCTAGTATGAGAGCCTGTTCTAGTACACCCCCAAAACAAAATATAGATTATTAACTATACAGATTTTTTTCATATCTAATCAAAATTGACTTGATTTTATTAATATTTTAGTTATAATGTTGATCAAAACCGAAAGAAGTCTCTTATGCTCACCAAAGCTGCATTTATTTTATCAAAAATGAAAAATTAAAATATTATTAAAATAACTATTTCCTATTTTAATGCATTTTAAAATGTAATTGATTTCTGTGATGCAAAGCTGAATTTTTTGTATAAAATTATTAAAATAACCATTTTCTATTTTAATGTATTTTAAAATGTAATTGATTTCTGTGATGCAAAGCTGAATTTTTAGTAGCCATTACACCATTTTTCCTTCAGAAATCATTCTAATATGCTGATTTGTTGCTCAAGAAACATTTCTTCTTATTATCGTGCTGCTTATTATTTTTGTGATGCACAATATTTTTCATGATTCTTTGGAATAGAAAATTCAAAAGAACTGCATTTATATGAAACAAATCTTGTTGCATTATAAATGTCTTGTACTGTCAATTATAATCAGTTTAAAGGGGTCATGAACTGAGAAATCAAAATTCCCTTGATCTTTTGACGTATAAGAGGTCATTGTGCTATAAAAACAAACTAAGTTTCAGATCTCAAAACCTTCTGGTTAGTCTAAAAACAGCTTATATTGAAGCCAATCTGCCAAAACGACAGGTTGTGGAATGTGCCACTTTATGACATAATATTGTTGCTAAACCCCGCCTCCACAGAAGAAGATCAGCGCCTGCTTCTACAGCACTGCCTGTTTAGCCCCGCCATCGAGAGAGGGAAACGCAGGTCTACGCAGAAACCAAACGATAAAGATGCTCCTAAGACAAGACACTGTGAAGTGCCAAATTGTGGAAAAACAGTCTTTGCATTGTCTTCTTTCTGATCCCAACATTAGGAAAGAGTGGATGAACTTTATTTTTAATGAAGATTAAAGTAAGAAAGAACTAGAATCAGTAAGAACTTGGTCGTTTGTTCACTTCATTTTACCGCGGGTTCATTTTCAAACAAGGCACAGCTCGACGCAGAGAGATTTTCAGAGAGATTAAAACTAAAATACGATGCTGTGGTGACTATATTGGATCCGACAGTAATGTCGCACCACACAAGTGTGAGGAACTGTTTTTATTATGTGGTCACTATTGCTTTGTCTGTTATTACAGATCGTTTGATATGAACTGAGTATTTATAAGTTTTTAACCACAGCAGCATCCCTCTATGAAGGATGTAGGCTGACAAACATACACAACTGTTAGCCAATCATAGCAGTGGGCGTTTACTTCTGAGTCTACGATCCGCCACGGCTATTCAAACAGAGCGTTCTGATGAGGGGGGTCAAAACAGGACAGAAAATATATTATCAAGATTTTTACCTAGAAAAACATCTAAGTGGACCTCAGAGAACAGTACAAAATAATAAAAAAAGGCAGTTCATGACCCCTTTAATGTATCTTTGTAGAATAAAAGTATTAATTTCTTAAAGAATAAATAAATAAAAATCATACTGACCCCAAACAGTAGTGTACTACTTATTAGAGTGTGTTAGGGTTAGCGTGAGGGAATTAATTGACTCTAAATTATAAATGAACATGGTTCTCCCAATTTAGCATTTTGTTTTGTATTCTGTGTTTTTAGGCAGCTTTGGTGGAATCAGATTGTACATGACTGAGCTCATAGCCATTACTCAGAGGGCTCTGCAGTCTCAGTCCTGGAAGATGAAGGCTCAGGGTGCCGCTGCCATGGCAACTATTGCTAAGCAACAAACGGGCTCACTGGTGGCACCTCACCTGGGCATGGTGTTGAGTGCACTGCTACAGGGGCTTGCAGGACGCACCTGGGCAGGGAAGGTAATATACTCTCTCTTTCTCAAACATGTGCTGAGGGACAGACTTTATGCACCTGGGCTAGGATTAATAATACTCTGTTTGCGCTGGAAGCAGACAAACATGATCTCATGGTCTCAGTGGATCTCAGTGGTTGAAACTGATTTCTTTCTTCGTTGTGTTTGTGGCTGCTGAAGTGTAATGGCTTGTATGTTCACAGGAAGAGCTGTTGAAAGCGGTTGGATCTGTAGTGTCTAAATGCAGGTTGGACTCTACTTTCGGTTTCTTTCACACACTTGCGATGTTTGGCAAAAAAAAAACCTTAAAGGAATAGTTTACTCAAAAATGAACATTTGCTGACATTGTTCTCACCCTCAGGCCATCTATGATGTAGATGAGTTTGTTTCTTCATCAGAACAGATTTGGAGAAATGTAGCATTGTATCACTTGCTCACCAATGGATCCTCTGCAGTGAATGGGTGCCGTCAGATTGAGAGTCCAAACAGCTGATAAATACACAGTAATCCACAATATTTTTATCAGCTGTTTTGGACTCTCATTCCGACGGCACCCATTCACGGCAGAGGATCCATTGCAGGGCAAGTGATTTAAAGGAAATTTCTCCAAATTTGTTCAGATGAAGAAACAAACTCATTTCAGATGACCTGAAAAGGTTAGTTCACCCAAAAATAAAAATTACCCCATGATTTACTTACCCTCAAGCCATCCTAGATGTATATGACTTTCTTCTTTCAGACGAATACAATCAAGAGTTATTTAAAAAATCATCCTGGCTCTTCCAAGCTTTATAATGGGAGTGGATAGTAGCCCAAAATTTAAAGTCCAAAAAATGTAACCAATCCATTATAAAAGAAGTCCACACGGCTCTGGGTGGCGATGCATTTGTGTAAGAAAAATACCCATATTTACAACTTTATAAACTTTAATCTCTAACTTCCGCTAACTGTTGTACGCATGCTCACGAGAGAGTGGCGTCCAGCGGATGACGTAGCACAGTAGCTTAAACTCTGGTGAGAATATGCTAGTCTCGCCAGAAACAAGTTTTGTTTACAGCAAAGGAAAACCAGTGTCCTCTTGGCTTATATTGAAACCCTCTGACATTTTTCTTTACAAATCCTCGTTTTGTACTACTAATTCGTGACCGGTGTTTTGTTTTGCTCTCTCCTCTGCGCTTCCACATTCGTCACTTCCGCCTTCGTCACCGTGCTTGCCTACGTGCTACGTCATCCGCTGGACGCCACTCTTGTGAACACACGTACAACAGTTAGCTTAAGCTTGAGATTAAGGTTTATAAAGTTGTAAATATGGATATTTTTCTTACACAAACGCATCGCGTCGCTTCAGAAGGCCTTTATTAACCCCCCGGAGCCGTGTGGACTTCTTTTATAATGGATTGGTTACATTTTTTGGACTTCAAATTTTGGGCTACCATCCACTCCCATTATAAAGCTTGGAAGAGCCAGGATGTTTTTTAATATAACTCCGATTGTATTTTTCTGAAAGAAGAATGTCATATACACCTAGGATGGCTTGAAGGTGAGTAAATCATGGGGTAATTTTCATTTTTGGGTGAACTATCCCTTGAAGGTGAGTAAAATTTCAGACAATTTTCATTTTTGGGTGAACTATTCCTTTAAATATATGGCAATTTTTTTAATGTAGTACTTGCCTTAAGAGGTTTACATAACTTTGATTCTTAATATTATGTTTAGCCTTATGGTGGGTTGTGCAGAGCATGCTGAAAAACCAGAACTCACAGGAAAACAGAAAACGATAAGCCTCTTGCTGATTCTGGGTTAATAAAACCCATGTACATTCAGTAACTTTTCATATACGTGTGGTTCTGTCTGTAGTGTGGAGCTACAGAAGCCTGCAGCAGGTCAGCCGACGTTTAGCGAGGTACTGGATCTGGTGCTGAAGGAATGTAAGAAGGAGAGTCTGGTTTATAGAATGGCGGCTTTACGCAGTGCAGCAGACATCTTGGAATCAACGCAGGAGGATCGTTTTCAGGAAATCACCGACATTGTGCTTCCTCTCATTAAAAAGGTGCTGCAAACCCTACATGCTCACAGTAAATCTTTCCTTTTTTTTTCTTTTTTTTAAGCTTTGGCATTTCATCCCAATTGACTTACAGTCTTACAATATTCCTGAAAGTGTTTTAATGATTCAGTATTTATTATTATTATTATGAAAATCGTGGCCAGGACATGTCCCGTATAAATGGCACATATGGCCACCCTAACTATAGTGTCTATGAACTCTAAAATGACCATAAAACTGACTTGAACAACTTTGCAGTTCAAATAATATCAGTTTTGACAGAAATAAAGTTAAAATGGTTTGCGGGTATGAAAGGTTGGATCGAAACCTTCTCACTAATAAAATTGATGCTGTTTTATGTTTGTAGAGAGTGATCAGTGGGAGTGTCTGTTCGAGAGAAGTCGGCAACAGCTTCAGCGTTCTTTAGCTACAATGGAAACAGACAACCGTCCAGATCTGAAGGACAAAGCCCAGACAATGAGAAGAAAAATACAAGCCCTGCCATGAATAACCTGCCCAAACACACACGCACACACTGTCCTGAGGGTTGATTTGAGAATCTCCACCGTATGTTTCAGTAATAATCCTCACAGCCATGTCACATAAATATATTATGCCATTATCTCGGCACTCAAAACAACTCAGTGTAGGCCATAGACCTTTTTTTTCCATGTGTAAATGCTTTTACCTGATGCTATAACTAATGTGCAAAGACTACATTTGGCTACAAGGAGCCTCATCATGTTTTGCTTAGACATTTTCACCAACCATTTTAACCTTGTTAAAGTCTCAGTATGTGCAAGTGTGATTCCTTTCATCTTGGGTTGGTTTTTTTGCTCAAGATACTGGAAATCATGGAGATTGTGAAGCAGAAGGCAAGAGACATCAGGGCCAGAACAGCCCTTGTACATATACACTGAATTACATTCAAGGGGTTTGAGTGATTACTGCATTTTTCTATGTTAAAAAAATTCATGAGTGAAGATACTGATTGAGAACTGTCCATATAAAGTCAACCTTTTGCTTTCATTCATTCAGTGCTGTTAGAAAAGGAGGCATCACAAAGTCAAGCAAAAGGGACAGGGATCTGTCCATACTTTGAATAAAGTGGAATGTTTTTAAATGAGGATTGGTGTAACGGTATTAAACATTAAAGGCAAGTTTGTAACATGAATGGAATTGAAACCTCAAATCTGCGTTTGTCCATGTTTGCACGTGTGAAAATATATTTTCTGTAATGAAATCTTTGTAAAGAGGCATGTTATACTGGGTCTCATCTCACCCTTTGTGCCCTTAAATGAAGAATAAAGTTGTGCACATTTTTTGGAGCGGCTTTGTTAGTCAAATTTAAGTGAACATTCACCCAATCTATTTTCTTTATGAAAATCTGTGAATAATTAATCCGTCATTAATCTTTTTTGTGTTTAATTAAAATAGAACTAAACACTTTTCCCTGGTGATGTACATTAGACTGATTCAATCATTTAATTTAATAATAGTAATTTAAAACTTAAACCCGATATATTGGATGGATTTACAAAATTCTCATTGACAAATGAATGTCCATGATTCAGAACTACTGGATAAATGTCTAGAGAGCTTTACAGTTAATATCCGGCAAATGTTAGAAAAGGAGGCATCACAAAGTCAAGCAAAAGGGACAGGGATCTGTCCATACTTTGAATAAAGTGGAATGTTTTTAAATGAGGATTGGTGTAACGGTATTAAACATTAAAGGCAAGTTTGTAACATGAATGGAATTGAAACCTCAAATCTGCGTTTGTCCATGTTTGCACGTGTGAAAATATATTTTCTGTAATGAAATCTTTGTAAAGAGGCATGTTATACTGGGTCTCATCTCACCCTTTGTGCCCTTAAATGAAGAATAAAGTTGTGCACATTTTTTGGAGCGGCTTTGTTAGTCAAATTTAAGTGAACATTCACCCAATCTATTTTCTTTATGAAAATCCGTGAATAATTAATCTTTTTAGTGTTTAATTAAAATAGAACTAAACACTTTTCCCTGGTGATGTACAGTAGACTGATTCAATCATTTAATTTAATAATAGTAATTTAAAACTTAAACCCGATAGATTGGATGGATTTACAAAGTTCTCATTGACAAATGAATGTCCATGATTCAGAACTACTGGATAAACGTCTAGAGAGCTTTACAGTTAATATCCGGCAAAAAGTACATTTTATCCAATATTAAATCAGCATTTTTCAACTGTTGTCATCTTGACAATTTGACACGACTACCTTTTTTGACATTTTATTTATACAAAACTAGCTTGCAAAGTTTGAGAAGACAAAAAGTCATCCTGCAAACAAATATACTGAAATATAGCATACAGAGAGAGAGAAAACAGATGAACAGGATTAAAAAGTAGCATAGCAACTACACTCCATAATGTGGAGAAAATGCGTGTGAATACAACAGCGTTTGGCAATGGAAAGGTGATTTACAGAGCAATTTTTTACATGCATTAGATGCACAAATCTGGTGTGTCCAGAAAGCTTTTAGTACTAACATTTTTAAACATACCATTTCATTTTCTCAAATGAAAGTAATAAAAGCTTAATACATCTGGCTTGAAAAATTTGTGCAGACAGCAAGCATTTAGCTGGCCAGTATCTGTTGCTGGCGTTTGTCCCTGGCTTTCTCCTTGGTGCGCTGGGCCAAAGCTTTTCCCTCATGTGTTTGTGCCGTGCGAGTGACCATGGAGATTCCATCCACAAATTTGGTCTTGAAGAGCACATTTGCATTGGTGAACATTCCATCTTTCAGAGACACCACCACAAACTGCAAAGAATACAAAAAAATAAACTTCAGTTTCTGTTGGGGTCAAACACAGTCATGCTAAAGCTGTTCTGTTACTGATGTACTGAAAAATTCACGTGTTGCTCATTTTTATATTTTGTGAGTATGTGCATTACCTGTGAGTGTGTAAAGTGTGTCCTCAGCATCTGTCCGATGTTTTGCGTGTGTGAGAGATCAAGAGCAGCATCCACTTCATCCAGGATGTAAATGGGAGCGGGTTTGAACAGCAACATGGCTAAAATCAGAGAGAGTGCTACCAGAGACCTGAAACACGCATAAACGCATCAGATGATCAATGGGCAGCACATGTACTGGGAAATATGCAGTAACCGGTTCAGTCCACGATCTTATACTCTAATGGATCTGTGGCAAAGAAAATGTTGACCTGGAGAGCCGTAACCAAAATTGTTACTGATTTTAGGAACAAGCGATATGCCACTTTTAGCAAGAGTTGGCAAAAGCTGACCTTTGACCCCCGCTGAGCTCTGTCAGGTTCTCTTTCCACGTTTTCCCTAGAGCCACTTTAAACTCCAACCCGTCCAGGACACCGCAGCCCTCAGGTGGAGCCAAACGGGCATTTGCCCCAGGCAACAAGGTGGAGAATATGGAGCCAAAATCCTTATTCACCTGCAATCACACACGTTGTACTGAATTAGATGCATCATGTCGGTTTGATCTTTTCTTACTAGTTGTAATATTGGGTCATGGGTGGATATTTTACCTTCTGCCACGCCACATTGAGAGCCTCATTCTTTTTATGGTCCAACTCTTCAATTGTTTCCAGGATTTTGGCTTTATCATTTTCAACTATTCTCTTTTTCTTCTTCAGATCATTGTACTGAAAGAAGGCAGACGGTGTTATTACCTTTTACAAATAATAATAAAACTTTATAAGAATCGATATTATTATTAACAAACAAACAAACAATAAGTAAAATGCTACTAATAAAATATCAAAGCTGGGACTGGGTCAAATCTCACAAAAAAATTGGGGGTCAGTCAATATTAATTAATTTGGTGCTCAAGAAAGAATTATTTTTTGTCAGCAAATCAGAATGACTTCTGAAGGATCATGTGACTCTGAAAACTGGAGTAATGATGCTAAAAATAATTTTAAAAGATTTTAAAATGCATTACAATATTTTAAAACAGAAAGCAGTTGTTGTAAATTGTAGTAATATTTCACACTATTACTGTATTTCTGATCAAATAAATGCAGCCCTGATGAGCATAAAAGACTTTAAAAAAATCTTTAGAAAATCTTGCCAACCAAAAATTTTGAAAGGTAGTGTATATACAAGATATAGCATATACTTAAAAAGACAGCAATAATAAAACAAGAAAAGTTTGATTCTTTCTTTGAATTCTGGAGTGAAATATGACCCAGACATGATCTCAGGTTCTTCTAGATTAACCTCTGCTCTTTTGCTCTCGTGTTGGACGCATTTTTGGATTTACATCTTTTATGGCACTGTCACTTAAGAGGTCAAAGGCCATACCCTCTCCTCGGCCTCACTGAGCATGTTCATGGCCCTGCGGTTGACGTTTCTCTCCAGCTTGTCTTTCGTCTCCTCGAGTCTCTTCAGCCTCTGTCCAGCCTCTTTGGGATTGTTGGTTTTAAAGTCGTAGGCAGTGTTAGGCTGGCCAAAGAGATGTTTCTCAGAGGAGATCCACTCATTTTCAGCTAACATGCGGGCCACCTGAACACACGAAAAACATTAGATCCACTCTAATCTACAACAGGCTAGTCTCTAATGGTGTCATTAACTTCCTCTGACCTTGGCTGTGGCATCAGCGCTGTCTTTCTTGTGTTTGCTGATGTTGTGTTCCAGCTCTTTGATTTTGAGCTGAGCGTCATTGTTTTGCTCTCGGAGATGGTTTGCTTCTCCGGTCTTTCCTTTAATCTCTCTCTCCTGTCCCAGAATCACTTCCTTCTGCTGGGACAGCTGCTCCTGCGCAACACGCACTGCCTCCTAAACACACACAGTGTGACTGTTAACATTTACGGCACATACATTTAAAGCATCACATTTAAAGGGACAGTCCACCCAAAAATGCCACGTTATAAAAGAAGATATTTTAAAGAATGGTGTGTACCCAAACAGTTCAGGTTCCGACTGACTTTTTGTTAATGGGAACAAACGGTTTTATTTTTCTTCAAAATATCTTCTTTTGTGTTCCACGAAAGTCATAAAGGTTTGGAATGACAGGAAAGTGAATAACTGATAACAGAATGATCATTTTTAAGGAACCGTCCACCCAAAACTATCTAGGCAATTCTTAAAGAGGTTGTTTCTGTACCTTATTGGCCAAAACCTCAGTGGTCATGGTGTCGATCTGCTCCTGTATGGCTTTGAGAGCTTCATCTACAGCCTGAATCTGCTGCTCATATCCAGCCTGTTCTCTCTTCAGCTCCTCCAACTCCAGAGCTACTGCTTCTGCCTCCTAGAGATAGAAACAGAGAAGTGGTTTCAAACAAGCGTCCAGTGTAGACAGGGTGTAACTTTGTTCAGTCTGGAGCCTGATAGATTTCATAGTAAACTGAAAGTACCTGCTGCTTCTCTTTTAGTCTCTTGTTGTAGGCGTCTGCTTTGCTTTTGGCCTGGTTGAGTTTCTGCTGGGCTGCTTTCAGTTCTTTCTCTCTCTCGGCCTCTGCGTTTTTCATCTTGTTCTCCAGAACTTTGTATTTCTCTTCAGCCTTCTTCTGAACCTCCTTTGTCTTCAATAGCGTTTCCTCACACTCTTCTAAAGAAACAGAACACCATGACATTTAAAGAGCTGTAAAACCAACAATGGCCCGTACTGTGGAGTTGTGCGTTTATTGCGCCTTTTATACAGAGCACCGGCTTCAGAAAGAGAACTAACGCCATTTCGGCAAAGAGGGGTATTTGTGTGTACCGATGGTCTTGCGCAGGTTTTCCAGCTCCTCTTGTTGCTTGTGGAAGGAGCTCTGCTGGAGTTTGGTCTCCAGGATCCGAGCCTCCTCAGTCTTCAGGTCCAACTGCTGCTTAAGCTGACGATATCTGAAAGAGAGCAACATTTCAGTCTTCTGCTTTGTACTTTTATTCTGATTGGTGAGTGAGGATTTTGAGAGGTTATATATTGGACACAGAGACTCACTTCTCAACTGTTCCCTTGAGGCTGCTGAGCTCAGACTCCACCGCAGTGAGTTCTGCCTCTTTAGTCCTCAGACTGTCCTGAAGGTCCTTCACTTCAGCCAGTTTAGTCAGGACGGAGGCCGTCTGAGCACGTGCACCTACACACACACACACAACCGTTATAAGAGAACACAATGTTCTACTATGCCATGTAAACGTATTCAGACCACAAAATCATCTGTAAATAGTGAATAAATTGTAAATAGTGGTGCACCAATATGGGTTTTTCAGTGGCTAATGCCGATAGTGAGAACTAGAGATCAGGGGTCAGTATAATGGTAATATGCACATAGTACAGCAAAGACGTCTTTGAGCATTTCTGTAGCTGAAACACCAAATGCGTCGAT